ATCTCCTATATTCTCATCCAAAACATTTATATAAATGAAAAACAAAAGTGGAACCAGTACTGATCCCTGTGTTACATCACTAGTGACAAAGTTGATATTCTGTATGTCACCTAGCGAGTCGGTGTTGGTTTAGATTGTGAGCTTTCAGATTTAGTGCTGTTATTTTTTTTTAAGTTCAAGTATAATTAATTTATGTACTGATTATTTGGTTGATATATCATTGTATATATATGATTTAAATCTTCCCTTAGCTTAAGTCAGCATGGAGGTTTAAACAATCTATTTCCAGGATTGCAATAATTTAAGTAAATGTTTTTGCTTTTGGTGAATGAACTGTTGTTTAATTATGTTTAGAGTTTTTGGAAAGAAGTCCAAACTAAACAGTTGAAATAGTGAAAGACTCAATGAAAGTCGTTAGACAATAAACAGACATTAGATGGTAAAATAACAAATTGGAAATTAACCAAACCTCCATAAAAGTTACAGGGCAGAAAATTTGATTGTGTGGCATCTACCTTGTGACTTTATGGATGGCATTTTGGATCCGAATGGTGACCATGCTTCATGTGTACATTTCTGTACTGGGTGTCATTTTGGTCCGATCATTAGCTCCAGATATCAGAAGCATGAGTTAGGGGTAGGGAGGCAAACTGTCAAATGTCAACGCATAATGTGTTACGACCAGACCCTCCATGAGGTTCCCAAATTAGTTACAGTTCCAAATTGGGCAACCATAACTTCTAGTGAAGAGAGGTGAACTGGTTCCCCTTGTTTATTCACCCACTGCATTTCAGGGTTCTGAAGGACAGTAATACTGCATGTGAAACATTAACTTTGTTTCTCTCTCTCTGCAAATGTTGTCAGACCTTTAGAGTTTATCCAGCAATTTCGGTGTGGTTTCAGATTTCCAACATCCACAGTATCTTGCTTTTAAATTAGAAAGGGTCCTTTCACTTTTTGATGATTTTCTCCTCATTCAAATTAACTTAGGTTTTAAAAGAAGCCAATTTAGCCTGGTCCTTTTTGAGTTAACAAAGTATGGGTAAACTAATTATTAAATGCAAGGAGAATCACTAATGTAATGCACATACAGACAGACTAGAGGTAAAAGGTGAATCTGAATGAATAAAACTTTAGAAAAAATTGGATCGGTCTATGAATTGTTCTTGAAGAGTGGATAGTTGCCGAGGAGGTCACTGTTAATGTTGATATTTGCAGTTGAACAGTCATTTTTTGGAGATTCTTGGGTTTGTAGGCTAAATGAAGTACCTTTGTCCTGATTCCTTTTCTTTTTGGTTTGTAGTAGTCAGAGTGATGGAGAGGTTTTACCTACAACATGGATTAATAGAGACTTGTTCTTCAACCATGGTATTTGCAAAATGCTCATACCCAAGCCTGTATGCATTAGAGCATTCAATCCCACAAGTCTACTGCAGTAAGGTTGAAATTGGGTTTTTAACTCCTAACCTTACGTATTCTTCAAAAGGAAAGACAAAAACTGTGTCTGCAATTTGGGACATAATCTGCAGTAGTGGCTTGTTTTGAAAGTGGGGTCATCAGCTCCCCATTACCTTGGTAGTCACAAGAGAGCACAGTTCAGCCTGTTTGAATTTTGTGTGATGTTTTAGATGTTATACTACATTGGTCCCTCTCTCCAGATTGTCACTAATTTACATCCGCAGTGATTTGTGGATCTATCAACCGCTTTAAAAAAGCACACTTTGGAATTACAAGTTAAAACTCTCCACAGCACTTGGGATTCTGACCTATCATTGTATTAAATGCCAATTTGACTCCAGAGCTGCCATTTTTGATGTACATGCTCCAGCTAGTTCTTAGTTTTAACTTCACATAAGCTGAACAGGTATTCAGAAATAGAAGAACCATCCAATGAAAATGATTTAAAGAAATCACCCACCACTTTCTGATTAATTACAAATTGATTTCTGCTGGTTGTCACTGAGTTCATAGAAGCTATTGGTTTTTAAAGTAGGTAAAACCTACAGGGTAATGGTGTAGAACGCAATGAATTCTTACTTAAAGGGTCTGCTCACAAAACACGCTCTGAAACAGGTGCTGACATTTCTATTCCTTTGATTTGCAGCATGGCAAGGCACATGAATAAAGGTGACATGGAAAAATTCAAGCTGTTAGAACAAGGTGGGGGAGGGGGAATGGAGAGAAATGTTATACCTACACCGTGTCTTCAGGCAACAATTATTTTATCTCAGCATCAGTGAAGAATAGTGTATCAGCACCTCTGTCTCACTAAGGAAATGTTCACTGAAATTATCCATCTGTTGTTTACTGACCTGCAAACACACAGCAAGGTGCGAATGGCATTACCCATGGTTTAAAAGTGACCATGAGCTTTAATTACTTGATTATAGTTGCTTTTGAGCTGTTCACCAATACTGTAATATACAGGAGGTCACTGATGCTCTGTGGAAAGAGAGAGGAATATATTGCATTCTTCCTTACCCAAGAGAAGTAGTTAAAGTGAGTAGGTTGCTTTAGTAGGAAATTTGGCTACCCATGGTGTGGAGTGCTATTGGCAGGTGCTGTAAAGAAACTGGGTATAAATTCACACATGTACAATGAGTGCAAAATGTTCCACATTCTCAATCTAGAGTCTGATGAGATATAACAATCCTGCACAAGACTATCATGATTACGTTACAATCCAATTTGGGATCAGTGACATCTTTGTTTAAAGTCAATGAAATTTCAGATCCCAGGTTCTTATAAAAGAACGAGGTCACAAAATTCCACAAATTTGAGTAACCAAATGGAAGTTTCATGTGCGCATTTAGAAAACAATCCACTAAAGCTTATACTTTCTCTGCCAGAACAAACTTGAAGTAAAAATGCATGGACAAACAAACTGTTAACACCTTGGAGAGCACATCAAATAGTGGGTGCAGTCAAAACAGATCTCATCAGTTTCTCAGCTCCACTGATGATACCCTAATGATACTGTGGGCACATTAAATCTCATCAAAACTTTGCTTCCTCTGTGAAGGAATAATGAATCTGCACTTTAAAAGGTCTAGTCTCTGAAATTCCTTAAAAGTTGGTCTGACTCGGACTGCTTCAAAGATTGCTCATCTTTTAGTGGTTCTTTTCCTAAGATTGCACTCCCCTGGATTCTCAAGTTTGAATTCTAGCATCTACTCATGGCACAAATCCAACTCTTTCACAGTCAGACTGCTCTTTTCACTAAGCTGGCATTGGCCCTGGGTTTCTCTGAACCACACTCTCTCAGCTGCAAATGCACTCATGGACTTCCTTGAACTTTAACTCTCAGCTGTACTGAATAGCCCTTGATCGTCAATGAGTCCCCAGTTATGCAGAGCTAACAGCGATACTTCAGCTGTATGGAGCTATCTGTATTGCTTTTGTCTTTCTCTGAGCCCCAATCTTTTCAGCTTTACCAGGAAAATAGTGCATAGAGGCTTCCTGAACCCCATTCTCATCTGCATTGAAATATCAATGCAGAGCTAGAAGCAGCATTTTCAACTGGATTCCATGGGACTGGGTCAGGTGTACCCTAGAACTTTGTGAGAAGCTAGGGAAGTGATTGCTGGGCCCCTTGCTGAGATATTTATACCATTGACAGCCACAGATGTGGTGCCAGAAGACCAGAGATTGACTAACATGGTGCCATTATTTAAGAAAGGTGGTATGTTAAACGCAGGGAACTATAGACCGATGACCCTGACATCAGTGGTGGGCAAGTTATCAGAGGGGATTCTGAGGGATGGCATTTTTGTGGACTGATTAAGGATAGTCAACATGGCTTTGTGCATGGGAGATCATGTCTCACTAACTTGATTCAGTTTTTTGAAGAAGTTACGAAGAGGATTGATGAGGAAAGAGCGGTAGACATTGTCTATGTGGACTTTGGTAAAGGGTTCGACAAGCTTCCGCATGGGCGACTGGTTGACAAGGTTAGATCACAAGGAATACAAGGAGAACTAGCCATTTGGATACAAAATTGGCTAGAAGGTAGGCGATAGAGGGTAGTGGTGGAGGGATGCTTTACAGACTGGAGGCCTGTGGCCAGCAGTGTGCCACAAGAATTGGTGCTGGGTCCGCTGCTTTTTGTCATCTATATAAATGATTTGGATGTGAATATAGGAGGTATGGTTAGTAAATTTCCAGATGACACCAAAATTGGTGGTGTAGTTGACAGCAAAGAAGGTTACCTCAGAGGAGTAGCAGATGGAGTTTAATCTAGATAAATATGAGGTGCCGCATTTTGGAAAGGCAAATCAGGGCAGGACTTGTACACTCTAGGGTAAGGTCCTGGTGGGGGTTGCTGAACAAAGAGACATTGGAGTACACGTTCATAGTTCCTTGAAAGTAGAGCCAGTAGACAAGATAGTGAAGAAGGCTTTTGGTTTGCTTGTCTTTATTGGTCAGCACATTGAGTATAGGAGTTGGGAGGCCACGTTGCGTCTGTACAGGATATTGGTGAAAATGGCAACTTTCTTGCTCCTTTGATGCTGCCTGGCATGCTGTGTTCCTCCAGCTCCACACTGTGTCGTCTCTATTCTGCTAATCCTTATTTCCTCATTGTAAGGAATGCATAATGTTGTAGTTGAACATGACTTCTTTTCAAAAAAGAAACACAAAACTTCAAAATACATTTTGAGCAGCATGCCCACACTATCCTCGTACTAACTTAGTCAAATATTTGGAATTTTGATATTTTCAACATTGTTACCAGGCATGATGAAATTTTAAGGAATGCATACACACTTCACTGAAAGATTTGCAAGTCAAATTAGGACACATTTAATGTATTTGTTTTGTTGTACCTTCACATTGCAGTTTTAATGGAACTTTGCATTGAAAAATAACCATTATTAAGTTCATCTGAAGCCCAATCGTAAAAGCTTGACTTTGCCCAGCAAAAACGATGAACAAACATTGTTGTGCATTAAGATTTAGATGTATCTGGCTGTCTGTAAGTAATATAATTTTCATGTTTCCAGGGGTGAAACATCTAAGGACTCATAATGAGACACCATTCCTTGAGGAGGAGGAGGCAACAACTGAAAGAGAAGAGGACTGGTCGCAAAAGACCAACTTGTGAGCAGCTGAAAGGGAGGTTTAATGTATCTGAACTGAGAAACTTTTCAAATGAGATCATCCTGCTTCAAATCTTATGGGTGTTCAGGCCTTCTGCACATTACATGAAAAGTGCTGAATGCTTACAAATCTAATAGTAGGAATCCATGTTAGACTTTGGTCCAGGACATAATTCTTTCATGTCTCACTGAATCTGAGGAATACGTGTGATATGATGTATAGAACCAAAGACCAAATCTCTGTCTCACAAGTAAATTCAGTTTGTAGTCACTTGCCAATAGAAATAATATTGATATTATTGGTATTGTAAAATGATTAATGTTTAATATTCTACTAATTAATGTGTGATGTGAATCTCTAACCTAGTGTAAATAATGCTTAATTGAAAAGTTATAAATAAAGACAACAAAATAAAACAATTTGAGTTTATGTTTTTTAAGATATCCAGAAATGTAAATTTGCATCCTTATAGAGATAAATTATGAACCAGATTTTGCCATTGTGCTCCATAAATGAGACTTGCCCGCACACTTTTAGGTCTTAAAATGTTTTGCCCAAAGTTGTTAGAACTGTGAACTGATAATAGTAGAATGAGGGAAATGAGAACCTTGTTAAATAATGGGACGATAATGTACTTTCTCAAACAGTGACGTTTAAGCATGGAGAAATAAATGGAAGAGGAGAGACAGTGAATTGTGGTCAGTAAATTCAACATTAAAGCAAATAAGGAAAGACAAATATTTAGAGGAAAAGATGTATTGAATTAAAAAGGAAATAAGAGACGAAAAGGTAAATTAAGTTTTTCAAAATATATATATTCTTTTTAAAGTCTCTTAAAACAAATCACATCCTGAAGTAGTAAGAGTTCTTTCAGAGATTGAGTGTAATTTTTTACTTTCTGAATAAAAGAGTTCAATTGGCAGTCATTGGCAATTATCTCAATATTGACAGGATACTTTTATATTATTCATAAGATTTAACTTTCTGTAGTGAATGAGTTTAATGGATAATGTGCAATTGCAGCACACATGAAAATCACAGTGAGGTTAAAATGAGATGCTGTGTTTGTGAAGCTAGCATTAAAGAATCGCAAATCACCTGACAACCCATGGCATTCACATTTCATGGGTTTTTTCTTCCAGCCTGCAACTGCAATTTAATTTACTCATTAACATGAATGTGGTCCATTGTATCAAATGTATTGATACAATGATCAATTGAATTTAGGCCATTTATCAGAAATAAACACAGGCAGACTGATGCAAACCCAATTACTTAAACTCATAATTGTCTAGTTTCTGCGCAGGAGAGGTTTGCTTAGCAGTTATTAACAATGATCTTTTTATGAAAAGATGTACTTATATTAATTATAAGAAACTTTTTGTGTTGTATTTTGATTTGATTTGATTTATTTTCAGTCACATGTACATAAGTACAGTGAAAAGCTTTGTTTTGCAAGCAGTACAGGCAGATCATAGCAAACAGATTGCAAAATAGTTAGAAGAAATGTTCTAATAAGATCTGCTTGGGAGTTTGCAAAGAATTGCCCAGTGTCGACGCCATCTTGAATCAGTTCAACTGCAGCACACATGAGTTGGACTGCAATTCAGAAAGTTAAAGGTGACACAGCTTAAAAATATAAGCTCTTTACAGGATCTTAAGTGTTTTTTTAATTCTCCCATCACCAAACTAAAGCGAGCCATAGTTTTCAGGAATTCCATTTAACGCTCCTCAGTGTTCCCACTCTTCTCTGAGATATGAGATTTCTTGGAGTCCATCTGGCTAGCTAAACCCTCCAACTCCCTTTCAACACATCTTGATTGGGAAGACCCCAGCTCAAGCATGAGCCTTACTGCATTCTTGATTTGCGACTCTAACTCAGATGTACTTTGGTTTCTGATGGCACTTTGCTACTGGTTACAGCTACTTTAGATCTCCTAACAATTATCTCTCTCTCACAACCTTCGTCAAAGTTGCTCCAGACTGACCAGAACTGACACAACTCAATGCTTCCCAGCAGTCTATCCACATGGTAGTGTGGCATGTTTGAGGTGTCCCAGATAGGGATTTTAACTAACAACCGAAAGAACTGCTGATGCTGTAAATCAGGAACAAAAACAAAGTTGCTGGAGAAGCTCAGCAGGTCTGGCTGCATCTGTGAAGACAAAAACAGAGTTAACGTTTCGGGTGCAGTGACCCTTCCTCAGATTTAACTAATTATCTCCATTTCCAAAATTTTCCTTTGTTCTGGGAAAGTGCTTGCTCTCTCTCCATGGATGCTGTCTGACACTCTGTGATCTCTACCATTTGTTGTTTTTAGACTTAACAATATAAACCTTTTATTAAGATGGCAGTGATTAGCTTGTCTCCACCAGGTAGGTAACCCATTGTTTAGTTTCCACTACTCTCCACTATCATCTTTTTGTACAAACATAGCCTACCTTTTGATTTACTTTAGGCCTGTATAATCAGCTTCTAAAACCAGATGTTTTCATTGATCTCAGATTTTAAAAAAATTATAAAGCCCCAAACTACATATTTTACTCCCACAACATAGGACTCTCAAAATTACATAATGGTAGTTTATCATTCTGCATCTAGGTCCGTGGCAATGCTCCAGACACTGACTCCCTCAATCAATTTTCTTCCAGCCTGTTTGATATTGGTCTGGGATAAGTGAGTTTCAGTAAGTGCATCAAGAAATGTGGGTATAGCTATATTTATTCTGTTTATTGATCTTTGTTCCAACAGTTTAACAAACAAATTTGTCATCAGGGAGTGCTGCGACCATTTAAATGCTGTTTTCCTGCTTTAATAGGTTTGGGCGTTCACCTGATATTGAATAGGGAAAACACACAGCTTCCCAAGTCTGAGTGAGGGCAGATAACCAGACATTCTGAAATGGGACCCAATGACACTGGATGCTTTTTTAATCCCCACCTACCAAATCTTGATTTCAGTTTCAATTTTCCCCTATGCTTTCTGAGGGCAAGGTAATTCATATCTTTGTCAATGTCTACAGTGTCAGTTTGGTTAACAATGGAGGAGCCAGAAATACACAGCACCTGTAAAGTGAAAAAAAAGTAACACTTCTGATAAAAACTCTTCATTGGAACAGAAATCACACTCTATCCTTTTATTTATTTTCATATGCTGAAACACCTGCTGTGTACTGTCATTTTTGGGTTATTATTTTCAGATTTCCAATGTTTGTTCTCTTCTAAATCTCAAGTCTGCATTATATGACTGTCTGTACTCTGAACTCTGTACAGCTTTGGACTCTAAAGGAGCAGCAATGTCCTATTAAAGCAAATGACTGTGGATTCTGGATCCTCAGCCTGTCTGGGATGAGGAAGTGTCAATCAGGATCAGTTTTGAAAACGTAACGACTATTTTTATGTATTACTCTTACATCCACTGTTTTGATGGTTTATAAAAAGCTATAATTCAAGCAAAAACACTCAATAACTGAGAAAAAGCATTGATTGTGAAATATTCTAATAATTTTGGAAATGAATTTCAAGACTAATGTAGCAAAGCTAGAAAATCATGGAAATACATGATGTGTGTAAATGTTTTTTCATGGGTTGGAATAACCAAATTAATTGATGTTTGATTTAATAATTAGCCACAATAATTGCTGGTATCTTCTGTTTGTTTAAAAATATGATTTTTGTTGGAATTCTATCTTCTTGTAGCTTTCTATTGATCTTTCCATCTCTAACTCGGGGTAACTTTCAACTTTGTTGCTTGACAGAACAGATAGCATTCCCAAGATTGGGATCTGGAATGTGTTTGGAGAACAATAGCCAACAGTCTTAAATTGAGAATCCAATGTGTTTCAGGAAACTCTCATGTTGAAGCAAGGATCCACATTGCTCAAATTATTGACATAAGAACAGCAGCAAACCCTGAGATGCAGCTGTAATTTATGGAGGAAAAGAGCAAGTTCAGGTATAGTTATTAAACATAATTGTGAATGCTTTGTGTGCAAAATTAATGATTTGCCAACTGTGAAATTTGTTTCATTATGTACTTTACTCTGTGCTTTAACATATTGCCTTGAAACTTTATACTGCATGCATGCTTGACAAAATCTATTGTAAAAATGTGGACAATTGTGCTATGCTGTGCATTTTCTCGGGAAACAATGACTGCATTTTGTGTAAAGGCATGTTTAACAGTGTGGAACGACCAGCAATGTTTCCATTAGCAATGTTTTGTTTTTCCTCCACAATGAAACACATTAGAGAGGTTGTCGGTGCAAACTCAACTGTTTCTTACAGAATGTCCAGCTTTAGTGGCTACTGAAGCTTCTCGAATCTGCCAGGTATTACAAAGCATACTGACAATGTGATGTGGAAATGAATGTATTATATCCTTATTCTCTGCAGGCATTGCACTTACCACCCAGAACCACTGACAAAGGAGGTGATAACTTTCAATAGCACAAAGAAGCAACTCAATTCACGTTTGAACTTGAACTGGACACATATTGGAACATCAGTTAGTTGACTGGGTGTAAAAGAACTGATACACAAATGAGGTGCAGCAGCTTGGACAGTTGGTTTGTGATGCAGAGTGATACCAACAGAATGGGTTCAATTCCTCCACTGGCTGAGCTTACCATGATGATTCCTCTTTCTCAACCTCTCTCCTTGCCTGAGGCACAGTGACCTTAGGGTTAAACCACCTCCAGTTATTGCTTGCTAATGATTTGATTTGATTTATTGTTGTCACATGGACCTAGGTACAGTGAAAAGTTTTGTTTTGTGCGCAGTACAGGCAGATCATACCATACAAATTGTATTTAGGTAATAGAACTGAGCTAAAAATACAATGTTACAGCTGCAGAGAAGGTGCACAAACAGCAAGATCCACATTCAATTTAAAATTTGAGAGGTCCATTTAAAAGTCTAATAACAGCAAGGAAGAAGCTGTTCTTGAATCTGTTGGTATGTGTGTTTAAGCTTGTGTATCTTCTGCCTGACAGAAGAGGTTGGAAGAGATTATAACCAGGATGGGAGGGGACTTTGATTATGTTGGCTGCTTTCCCCAGGCAGCAAGATGGATGGATGGAGTCAATGGATGGAAGGTGGGCTTGTGAAATGGACTGGGCTGTATTCACAACTCTCTGTAGTTTCTCACAGTCCTGGACAGAGCAGTTGTCATATCAAGCCGTGATGCATCTGGATAGAATACTTTCTATTGTGCATCCATAAAAATTGGTAAGAGTATTTATGACCTGCCAAATTTCCTTAGCCTCCTGAGGAAGTAGAGGCTTTGTTGTGCTTCCTTGACTGTAGTATCAATATGGGTGCACCAGGACAGTTTGTTGGTGATCATCACTCCTAGGAACTTGATACTAATCAGAGTCTCACCCTCTAGGAGTAGAGTGACTCTATTTTAGTGCCCA